ACGAAATTACTTTTATCTGTCAGTCTATCACCCTTTTCATACATAAGATTTATGAACACATTTCTACTTTAAAATACAGACTTCATAAGAGCCTATACATGAAAAAGGACACTTAATGCAGCTCATTAGTTGCTCTTGACAAAGGCTCACTGGGAGGGGAAAGCAAATACAACAGAGAGAATAAAATATCTGTGATGAAGAACCTTTAAACCTGGCCTAGGGTTGGGAGACAACCACAGGAACATGAATTAGAGCACAAGTCTACATCTCACTGAGTTAATCTTTACGTTAGTGGACCATCCCTTAAGTGAGGTCCCATCTGCAGGTGTCTCTTAGCTATATTGAAGGATTAGAGTTGTCTCAGCAACTTAAAAAAGCTGGCTCACTGGATGTAAGAAAAGAATTAATTATTCCACCACTTTCCACACACAGGCCCTTTTCTGTAAAGCTGCTCTGCACATAATATCTGCACACAGTACACACACACATATAAAATGTCTAAGAGTATATCCTGGTATTGTATAATATCTAGTATAATGGCATTGGATAGTGTGTGCAATAAATTAATCTGCCTTTTTCATATACAGTTAGCAAAACTACAGCTATACATATACACATTTCCTTTTCCTCTAACTGACCCAACAAGCTTTTTAGAGAAACCACATAATCTGTGTTTCCTGACTGTGTTGTTTCAGATTCTGACTTGCTCACCTTTTTCCCCTCTGGGCTTCTGTCTTCTCTGGTCTTATGACTTCACTGTTTCTATTCCACACATCCCTTTCAGAAGACAAACTGCAAAATCACAAGAGTGAAACTGCTGATTTTTTGAAATCACAGTTCTCAGAGAAAGATTTATTATCAGCCTATTCTTGTCCTGAGCAAAGATTAACTGAGTATTAAAAAAATGGTAAAATATTATCAGTAATAACAAACTGAGAATAGATCATCAAGCAAAATAAGGAAAGCCCATTTTTCAAATACTGAAGCAGCCTTTCTAGGACATGATTCACCTATTCCTAAGGTAGACACCTAAAACAGGTCAGATGAATCACCACCTAACAGTGTCCATTTCTCCCAAGAATTTTCAAAATCAAAGACAGTTCAGAAGCTCTCTTTGATTTTAATACATATTTTCAGATTTGGAGATTAATTTCATGGTGTAGTTTTGACAGGCTTGGGGATGTTTTTTTCCTCTAGTTTTTGAAGGAAATACAGCTTTTTTTTTATCCCACTGTCAGCTGCCCATTAGGAACCAACTGTCTTATTTCAATCAAATACAAGCATGTAGAGGAATTAGAGATGAGCAGGTTCCTATATCCAGGGATCAATGTTCTTATATCCAGGGATCAATGCTCCTATAGCCAGGGATCAGAGGCCAGGTGCAGCAGAGAATTCTTACTGGCATCCCCATGGGAGGATCAGCAGGGAGAACCTGCCTTGTCCATGCTCTTAGGCATTTTAAGTGGTATCTTGTCCAGGCAGTAGGGATAAAATACCTGCTTTGGAGTCACTGAATCTCTTGGGAACATGGGAATGATATAAGGATAATCTGGGGGAGAAGGTTGCTGGGAAGAGAGTGAAATAAATGACAGCAGAATGTGTCAATTTTGTAATAAATTAGACTACTGGTAATAACAAGCTCTCTAGATACTCTTTGTGCTCTTTAGACTGGAAGGATTTGGTGTTGTAACACTGCACGTGACCATGATTTCCCTGAATAGGTGATACAAGGAGGCTACATAACTCCAACTGAACATGGAAGCTGGTGCTCCTGAAACGAAGGAGATGATTTACACCTGTTCTTTGGCAGTCCTTCCTCCTCAGGAGCTCCTGAAATGCTCACGCTCCTTAGAACATGGGAACCTCTTCCCCCTAGGAGAGTCTCTAAAGCAGATTACCAAAAATCAATCAGAAATTAATTAACTTCTCCTGTGAGGACAGGCCTAGAGTTGGGGTTGTTCAGAAGGCTCCAGGGAGACCTTATGTGGCCTTTCAATATGCAGAGGAAAGAAGATGGAGACAGTTAACAAGGGCCTGGAGTGACAGGATGAGGGGGAATGGCTTCACACTGACTGAGGGCAGGTTTAGATTAAGTATGAGGAAGAAATTCTTCCCTGTGAGGGTGGTGAGGCCCTGGCAGAGAAGCTGAGGCTGCCCCATCTCTGGAACTGTTCAAAGCCAGGTTGGATGGGGCTTGGAGCAACCTGGGATAGTGGAAGGTGTCCCTGCCCATGGCGGGAGGTTGGAATGAGATGAGCTTTTAATGCCCCTTCCAACCATTCTCTGATGCTGTAATCTGGGAGCCCCTGAGGAGAGAGCTGGTGACATTCCCGAACCTGGGAATTGAGGACAAAGCCCCGAAGCCCCACAGGGACTCTGGTTTCCTGGCAGGACTGGGATGCACAAGGAGTGAGCTGCACATACCGGTTCCTGTGCTCGGCAGGGCCTGGGGGCCTGGCACCTGCTCCCAGCACCTGGCCCAGCAGGGCCCCCTACACCCACTCAGGAATCCTGGCCAACCCCACCACGGGAAGCCACTGGGAACAGGGAAGGGTGTGCAGCAGAACACAGCCAGAGGGAAGCAAGAAGCCACCGCTGGCACAGGACAGGCAACAGCAAACAGCCAGGCTGGTGCAGGCTGGGTGTGGGAACACATCTGCAGCGATAAGAGGTTTCCAAAACAACATTTGGGAAGAAAGCAGGCAGCGGGGTTTTATTGAGTCTAGAGGAGAAGGCTGGAAATAGGGCAAGACATGACAGTGCAGTTACAGTACACGAGAGGTTGCTGTTAAGGGAGGCAGTGATTACACTGCTGGAAGGACAGAGATAAGATCTAACCAACTTAATTTCCAGGAAAGAAGACAAGAGAAAAGAACAAGAGTAGATGTTGCAAAAACTTTCTCTGTGTAAGCCAGAGATGGCAAATATTATCTGGGAGGTTGTGAAACCCCCTGCACCAGAAGTTAACCAGACATCAACATGCTCTCTCAGTAGAGGATGGACTGCCAAGAGCTATTGCCCAAGCTAGCCTTTGGAAAGCAAAAATCCATCTACCCTTTTCAAATATAAACTAAAAACCACCCATGTATGTCACATGGGTCATTAAACATATGGGTGATGAGTAAAAAGTTTTGCATTTGGATAACAAAGCTACTATAGATTTACAAATCCTGATTTCAATGCAGGTATTCAAATTCAAAACACTATTTGGATAGAAAACTTTGATCTTTCTTCTCAAAGAAACCTGCAGTTGCTGAGCAGGTAAATGCTGCCAAGACTTTTCAGTGCTATTTCTGTCCCATGGCACCTCCTTCCTGCAACCAACCTTTCTCCTTTGTTATAGTCTGCTCCCATGTAGAGAAGCAGCAGCCACTTTATATTCTGTGGAGCACTTTTACTCCTGTTGAAACGTCTGTGGCCTGGGCCAGTCTCACAGCAAGATCACAGAGTCATCTCTCCACCATTTGATGATATAGGGCCATAAGATACCTCAGGCACTGGAAGAAACCAGACCATATGGTTCTTTTGGGACCCACTGCAGAGAATACTCCCAAGACAGAGAGGCATTCTGACCTTCCCAGTCCATCAGGAGTAATTAAGGCCACCAGGACATCTTCTTGTAATGGAGTACCTAAAGGACATAGAATTAGGGTTCTTTTCAGTTGATGAATGGGTATCTAAGCCGAAACAATCTAGGCAGATTCCCGTGGGGCATATATGTGGAAAGGGTTTTGATGGGAATTTTGACCTGACTCAGAATCAGCTGGCTGACCCCAGAGAAAAGCCTAATCTGTTTGCTCCCACTGACAAGAGCTGGAACCAGGATTCACCCCGTCCTTACTCAGCATCAGTGAAAGCACCTCAGCAGGAAACCAGCCCTTGAAAAAAAATGTGCTCACTGTGAGATCTTCCAGGAAGGCATTCCAGCACCAGAGGTAGGATAAAGGCACAGATATTCAAGCCACTGTGAGGAATCCTGCAGGGAGTATGAGGCACAACCCCCAAATCACAGAGAACAATGTGACAATGCTCCAGGACACGGAGGTAGCAGGGGTTGGATGTGAACACCCTACTAAGACGATGGGCCTCATATGTTTTTTTTGAGAATCACTAACAAGAGATGGGGGAGGTCCTAGGAATGGAAGGTCTACCATCTACTTATGGTACCTTTTAAATAACCTTTTGATCTTTGTTTCTTTATTCTCTGATTCCTTGGGGACTTCAACTCATGTGTCTCAGGAGGTGTGAAAATGTCAGAAGAGTGTGACAATGCATGCTGACCACCGGACAAGAATGTGGCCTCTACCACAGCCACTTTACACCCTGAGCCTCCACAGTAATGCAGCAAGTTTTTTTGCTGAGGCAGAAACCCCACTCTTTTTATAGGGTCATTCTGCTTTGATGTTTTATTTGTAGGATTATTCTTGTGCTGTTCTTAACTAAATGCAAATAAAACAGAAAATATCACACAGTGTGAATCACAAAAAGGCTCTTTTTGTGTTTAAAGGACAAAAGCTCAATTCATTAAAAACGTGCCTTTGCTCATAGGAAACAATCCTGCTTCAGTCTGCCCTTCCAACAACAGCATCAGAACTCCAAACAAACAATGCTTCCCCACCCTGTGTGCATGATTGTATTTTTGTGCAAGCTTACATTCATCATTATAATCCCTCCTATGGAAAGGTTACTTTTCTGAGAACTGAGGAGAGTGAGGGGCACAGGGAATCCTCTCTCAGTATACAACAGGCCAACATCACGGAGGTGATTCAGGAATATATGCTCATTTTTCTATTATGAGATTTGTTATCTAATTACAGGACTCATGTTACGTAAGTTTAGGACCGCCAGGAAAGCCACCATGGGTGGCTAAAATCCCAGAGATTTTATTTTTTAAAAAAGGTGAAACTACAATAAAATGGTGGACGTTTCTTCAACATTCTGACAAAAAGCCTTAAGCCAGTGCCCAAAACAAAAACTACCTGAGGGAGGAAAAGGGAAATTGCTCTCTAAACCTGCTGTTGTGACAACAATCAATACAGAGGAGCAGGCACAGCAAACAGAATGGTGTTTGGGCTCACGTTCTCTCACCTGGATGCAGCCAGGAATCAGCATCAGGAACAGCTTCCCATGAGGGGGCACTCCACTATCACACATCCAGGCTTGGAGATCTCTACCTCCAGGACTTGTACAAAGACACTGAACAGAGAGGGAAGCACATTTCAGCTTTGTTTATCCTCCTCTGCAAAAAGAATTACTGTGTTTATCCTGTTAAAAGCTACACTACTATGTGTAATTCTGTCCAGCAAGAGAACCAGAACAAAAAATCCCAAACACAAATCTGGAATGCAGGGAGAATTTGGGATTTCTGAACTTTTAAGGGCTTGATTTCACAGTTACTGAAGAGGACCTTAATACATACTAATGACTTCTGTGTGCAATTTTTTAATGAACAGGGGTTCTTCTTTATTAGAAAATGGGACCGATTAATTTGTGGGCTGGATTTTGTGTCTAGCCAACAAGAGGAAGGGAAGTGAAGGGCTGGCCCAAGTCATTACTACTGACCTACACCACAAGCAACAACACTTAAATGGACATGATCATATGAGGACCTTAGCTAGGAAGAAGTGACTTCCTTGCACCGAGGTTTCCGAGTGCAGAGGGATGGGCAGGGTGGGGTTGGGGCAGAGGCAGCTGTTCTGAGTATGGGGCAAAGCTGCTCAGTGTCATCCTCCCACCTGGCTGCACTCATTCAGGTGCTGCAGCTGCCTGCATAGGGAAAAGCCTGTACACGTACAGCTCCTACACAGCCACATCTCTCTTTCAGCTGAAACCAGAGGAATATTTGGCAAGCCCCTTGAAGGCAGCATGCTGATTTCATTTCTGCTCTCCATGCTTAGTTTTGTAGAGGTCCCAACTATTTTAGCATGTCTGGACTAGAATAAGAGTACCTGCAGTGGTGTGACTTTGTCCATATTCTGCCTTTTCCTTAGAGTAATTTATTTCTAGAGTTCATAGTGGAGCAGAAAGCCTGAAGAAATGACCACAGGGTAAGTGGACTACCTGAATGTGAAAGAAACAGAAAAGCACAGTGAAGTGTTCTAGATGTTCTGGTAGTGAGTGGGTTGGTTTGTTCAGAATCATTTCTACAGAAGTCCTTGAGTGTCACCCCCCCAGCCCAACTGAAGTTATTGCCATCAACACCCATATATAAAAGTGCAGAGGAAGACTCTGGTAAGTTCTTGCTTTAGCATTTCCAAATGGAGTAGAAGTATTTCAAGAGTCCAGGACTCCAGGACTTCTCAAAGGGGAAAAGCAGACAATGCTCATTATCCTGGATCCTCTCTATTTAGGCTTTTTCTCACTGCTAAGGAAGGAAGGGAAACATCAGCGTGTGAGGTGCAGGTAAGGCTGAGACCCCAGTCCAGCAATTACCTGCACAGGGATGTGAAAGGTATCATGGGCTGGGCAACAATTTACTGCAGTGTGAGGGCTCTGCTTCAGATTTGCACAAGGATTTAGCTGCAACAGAAGAATCACAGATGGATTTAGGGAAAAATCCAGCTTTTTGTGGAGTTCAGAATCCCACAACACAGAAATGGAAAGCACTGCAAGAAACCAAGGGCTGCCTCCCAAAGGCTCCCTGGGAGCTGCAACTGGGGATTTCAGTCTGGGAAAGGCACCTGCCAGGAACAAGCAGCTTGGGATATCCTTTGCATGGCGCATCTCAGGGCAGAAAAAAGATAAGCCCGAAGATTTCCTTGAAATTGTAACTGAGCTTGGAATTGCCTACATTGACTGTTGTAAAAGAGCAGCTGTTTGGAAATGCTTGCATAACCAGTTCTCATTAAGATTTTCCAAAATTTGTGTGTGGTATTTCTGGACATATCAATGTTGTGATCCTGGATTACCAAAAATTAAAACTTTGGATGATGGGGAAAAGTCAAAGCCCACTAAAAGCTTTCCTGTCTTCCTCTTTGTCTGACTACTCATTCCCCCAGTAAATATTTTTTTCTCCATAATGTCTTTCTGCCCTTTTGGAGGCATCTTAATAGTATGAAGCATTGGGGTTTTTCAACCTGCTTTTATTTTTTTTGGATCCTTGTTTACAGGTATTGCCTTGTGTTTCCTGGGTATCTTTTGTGAATCTTCCTCAGGTAGCCCATGGACCTCCTCGTATGTGTGGACTCCAGGCCAGAAATTACTGCAATAATTTTGTTCAGTAAAATACACTGCTGACATTCAGTGTAAAGTACTAAAAATACTCTCATTAATGTTCTTGCTCATAAACCATTCTTTCCCTGCACTATATATTTTCAAAAAACCCTTTAAATTCAAGTTTGTGTTATTTACCTGCACGGACACTTCCATATAAATCTCTGTATATTAATCAGGTGGGAATAGGGCTTAAAAAGCCATATATTCAACAGGAAGAAAAGAATGTGATGTTACACTGCATTACATATATCAAATGCAATTTTTGCAAGTTTGGCTGAAGGAAATCCTTCTAAATATGTAAGAGCTTACTACTGTCCCACTGAGAATTCCATCTGAGCTGCCAAATGCTACTGGTGAGCAGGAAACAGGTTTTAACCACAGTATGTATCATTAAAGGCTGGTAACTGCTTCAGAGACTATAACCTCTTTAGCATAGCTCCCTTTTTTCCCCCAATATTTATTCAAAGGAGCTTCTTGCTTGTGAAAGGAATCCATATTTTATTAATCCCAAATAAAAGGATTTTAATGGAATTGGACTAACTTTTAAGCTATTTCCTTCTGTCTTTTGAAAAATAGTATATAAGCAAATACATGTGAAGTTTTGAGTCATGTTTTGCTGCAGCTGTTCATGCGAAATCTTGAGCAGGAGATACATTGTGGGGATTTCTTTCTTCAGTTTGTAGCTATGCTTTGAGTGGTACTTTGTCTTCCCTTCTGCCCAGCTGATGATTTTTACATCCTTGGCAAGAATGAAGTAACATCTGAAGTGATCTTGCCTACTTTTGCTGTTTGAGATTGGCCATCCCTACCCTCAATTCCATCCAAATCAGGGAAGGTCAACAAAACCAACATTTGCATGTGTGCAGCCCACACCGTTCTGAAGCTGTGGCATGAGCAGTCATTTTCTTTGATATCAGTCTGGACTGCAGCTGTAAACTGAGCTGGGAAGGCACATCAGCCTCCCCCAGGCCGACATCCACAAGTTCAGAACCACCTCATCCCTTTTAGAACAGGCAGGAGCTTATAATCAAGTGAACTGTTGGGCAATGTCAGGCTACAGGATGTGTGCAAATAAAAACATCCTTTTATCACCTTTCATGGCTGACAGGCAGGGACTCTCCAGACCATTCCTTACTCTCATGCCTCTAAGAGTAGCCTTTGTCTCAAGACAGTCTGCAGCCTTGTCCATTTGTTTAAATTTTCCTGGCAGACCCTGTTAAAAAAGGGGAATTTAGCTGTGTAGGACAATGGCCTGACATGCACATCAGCCCAGGCACTGCAATTACTTTGGAAAAAAATTGTACAACATATGAAACAGGCCATTCACGCTTAATCCATCCAATGTACACCTTCCCTGTAACTGGTACAAAATTCATCATGACAAGAAACTATCCCTTTGTGCTTCATATGCAGGTATCCATTTGTACAAACAATTCTTACTGCTTTTTTTGCATGGAAGAAACAAAACAAAACAAAACAAAACCCAAACCTGGGTGAAGTTGAATAAGGATTTTAAAGATATATAATTTTGGTGGATTATTTTGCTCCTGGTTTTACTCCATAAGAGCAGACACAGCATTGTATCTAGGTCACTTGTTGGCTGGAGGCTATTCAGAATTCCCAGGAGAGGATACTGGAGAAGGAAATGGAGGAAGCCCATTTTGGTCTGTTCTTGTCTTGGGATGTTCGTGTTCTTTGACAATATGGGTTTTGTCTCAGAGCTATTGTTATTAACTCAGGTTATGGCAGCAATGTAGATTTATAATTAGTTTCACCCAGAAAAGCATTTCTATCCGTATCACCCAAAAGAATTTCCTAGTTCTGTATTTTCCTAAACTTTTCTGTCACAGCTGTCTGGACATCTCCTTGAGAAAATTTCAGGAAACATCCCAGAAATCAATATTTGTCTGTGTAAAACCCATAGTTTCTTGAACACCTGGGATAAATGATGCCTCTTCCCAGACAACAGCAGCGGTTCACCCTTGTAAATACATCCACAACTGGCACTGAAGTGGATTCTCAGACTAACACAGACCCAAGCTCACTCCCACAAATGAAGAATTTCCTGTAAACAAACCAATAAACAAAAGCTCAAAATAGTCCTCCTCCCTAGCTGCTGTCATGTGGGGAAATCAGAGCATGAGATACATCTCAATCTGAAGCAGGGAAGATTCAACCCATATCTCTGAGGGATGTCTGCACACTTAAAACAACCTAATACCCCACTGCTTCTTTCTACCCTACCAGACTGAATCCAAAGGTATGGCTGTAGGGATAAAGAACCTTTGTCAATGATACAGCTACATTCAAGATTTTTTTTTAAAAAACCCTACTGTGTAACTGTGACACTTTTTCCTCTCTTAACTCAGCACCTGCTGTAGCTCAAGAAGGTGCTGGCACCCCCAAAAGCAACAAGAGCACTGCGCTACCAAAGGTAAGCTGAGGCCAGGGGAGAGTCTGCACTTCTCTCAGCCTGCTGCAGTGAAAATGCAGTGCTGGAGGCTGTAAACAAGAGGCAGGAAAGGAGATGACTGGATTTCAGAAGGGCTGGTACCACTGGATGTTCACAGCGAGCCTTGGAGGAAATGAAGGAAACGGCCAGGACTGACTCACCGGGGATGGGTGTTTTACTTGCTGCTTGTGTAAACTTACTGTGCTGCAGTTTCCAAGCTCTCTCTTCTGCTCCCTTCCATTATTACCAAGGGTTTTCATGCCATATGCACAGGTTTGCATCTGCTTGGAGTAAGGTACAGCTGCTGAACACACCTAGGGGAGCAAACTGGCTTTCCAAGGAGGGCTCAAGCAGATGATTTTAGTTTTAAGAAGACGTTTAAACAACTCTCCTCCTCTGCAGTACTTGTAGTATGTCAGCAGCTGAACCAAGTTACTGTTCTGTTCTGTCCTGCTGCCTGCCTGAATTTTGGAATGCCCAGCTGTGTGCTCTGCATGTAGAACTAAACCCAGAATAGTGTCTGGGCAGAGCACAGAGGATGTGACAGCACAGGACTTGAGCGGGACAGGATGTTTACGAGGAGGATGTTGGAGTGGGAGGTTAATGTCCCAACTGCCCCTCAGCCCGGCACTGCAGAAAGCAGGAGCACTTCAGGGTACAGGGCCCTGCTCTTCGTGCTGCTGGGCCTCTCTGCAGGGAAGGGACACACCAGGGATAAATATATATATACACACCAAGGAGGTATGTCCTTGAAGGGAAAGGAGCATACTCAACTGCTGTAGCCCAGAGTTTTGTGGGCTAAGAGACAGTGCAGCCCAATCCACATGGGCTACTCACAGCATGGGACAAGCCCTCTCCTGGCTCACACTCTGCTGGGTTCCAGATGTGTTCAGGCACTCAAACTCTGTACAGCAGGCAGAGAAAGCAAGGTACCTCAAGACATGATTCACAAAATCAAACAGAAAACTGCCTCTGCAGCTGCTGGAGGTGCCAAGGACAGGGGAAAGCTCACCTCAGACAGTAAGTTGCCCTTTTCTGGATAGAAGAGAAGCAGTTTTCCAGTCAGGATGACCAACTCCAACCTGCTGCCAGCTCCTAGGAACTTAGAAAATGCAATGGGAAGATGCACTAGCTATTTATATAATCTCCCTGAGGTCTGACACCAAACCAAGAGAGACATGATCCAGAGTCAACTCCTGGGAATTTGAAGCATCCCTTTCCTTCCATCTGACTGTAAATGCAGTGATGTGCAATTTGAATCTCAGCTGCAGGAGCTGATCCACTCTGCTGAAAAAAGGCACCCACACAAACGAATGAAAGGAGGACTCAGAAGGCAGCAGCAGGCAGAGGATGATTCCATGGCTGGCTGGGGAGAGTTCTCAGTGTGCCACTTCTGAGGGGAGTTTTCCTGCTTGGGAGACTCCACACAGGTCTCGCAGGAAAGGGAGGGTTCAGGATTGCCTAGATGTGGGCTGCAGGGCTTCTCTGGTGGCTGAGTCAAGCCTCCTCTTTCTCTTTTGCTGAAATCTTCAGAGCACATCCTGGAGGATACACACCTGTAAGCCTCAAGAAATGATTAGTAGAAAAAAGCAGACTTAGCAAGGAGACAACTCTGGATATCAATTTGAAGAGACAGAATAATATAGGTAATGCCTTCCTCAGCCACCTGTATAAGATAATTCTTTGCACACTTTGTGATTTTGTTGAGCAAAGACCTATGGCAAAGTGCATCCTCACATAAATCCTGTATCCCTTTAAGCACCTGTGTACCTACAAGAGACAGAAAGCCCAGGAACTCTATCTGTGGACTCAGCTTCTTAATGCGGCCTACAGAATTTTTCTACCCATGGCCTGGTCAATTTCTTCTGAATTCAGGTGTTTCATTAATTTACATTTATTTGATGATCTTGGATGTAATCCTGCCTGGGATCCTGTAATCCTATAAAGCCAACACTTTTCCTTGAACCCCCAGCTGCCTGCTGGGAGAAAACACAAAGGGTTCACACATGTGAAGTTAAGGAGTGGGAAAACAAGAGACTCGGATAATGAAGGAAGCTTAAAAATAAAAAGCATCTCTGAGTCTTAAGCTGGACCAGAGACCTAGGCTGGTGGGTCAGCTGCACTCCAGAGGCAAAGCAAACAAGTGCTGTGTCGAAACCTGAGAGGGATGCAGTTATTGCAGAATCACAGAAAGTCTGAAACTGAAAAAGATCGACAAGGATCATCCAGCCCAGCGCCTGGCCCAGCACCGGACACCCCAACAATCCCACCCCGTGCTCAAGAGCGTTGTCCAAATGCTCCTGGAGCTCTGTCAGGCTGGGTTCTGTGACCACTGCCTGGGGAAGCCTGTTCAGTTCCCAACCACCCTCTGGGTGAAGAACATTTCCTAAAATCCACCCTAACCAGCCCGTGACACAGCTCCAGCTGTTCCCTGGGTCCTGTCCGTGGTAACACCGAGCAGAGATCAGGGCCAGCTCCTCCTCCTTGCGAGGATGCTGCAGAACTGCTGAGAGCTCTGACCTCAGTCTCCTCCAGTGAACAAACCGAGCGACTTCAGCCACTCATCGTACGTCTTTCCCTCTAGGACCTTCACCCATATTCTAACTAATGAATTAAAAAGAGAAAAAAAAAAAAAAAAAAAAAAAAAAAAAAAAAAAACCTCCCCCCGGGGGGGTACCTTCCGCTCGGACGTGTCAGGGCCTGTGGCCGGCCGGGGCCGGGGCCACCGTGTCCGCCGCGGCCCCCCGGCCGCCCTGCGCTGCGCTGCGCTGCGCTGCCCTGCCCTGCCCCGCCGCGGTGCCGTCGGAGCGCGGCCGCCGGCCCCGCACGCCAATCAGGGCGGCCCGCCTGCCTTCCTGTAGGTGTGCCCGGCTCACCTGGAGCCGCGCTCGGCACTCATGACATACCTGCGGCCCCGCGCAGGGCGGCGGCGAGGCGGCGGCCGAGGGGCGCCGGGGGGGGTCACCGCTGGCCCCGGCCCCGCGATGTGAGCCCAGCGCAGGTAAGGGCGGCCGCCGGGGGCGGCGTTGCCGTATTCCCGGGATCGCCGTTGCCGTATTCCCGGGAGAGGCGCGGGCCTGGCGCCGGATCCCTGCGGAGCCCGGGCCGGGAAGGACAGAGGGGCGGCTGCCCCGCGGGGCCGGGGCGGGGGTGACGGGCGGGTTCCGGGAGCGCGGGGCGGGGGGGACGGGACCAGGGGGAGAAGGAAGGGGAGGGAGGGCGGCCGACCCACCATTTTAGGACCCGAGGGGGACGGGAGGAGGGATCTCCGCGGAAGGCGAGCGTCGCTCCTCCCGCGGCGGGCCCGGTGCGAGTGCGCGGTACGGACGCCATCGGGGCGCGGAGCCCCTCGGGGTCTCGGGCGCCGCGGGAGCTCCGGTGCCCCCCGAGGGGACGGCGAAGGGGGCTCCGATCCGCCCGGCCTGGGGCCGCCCCGGGGGGCCGCATCCTTGGCTGGGGGCCGTATCCTTGGCGGGGGCTCCGGGCCCCGACGGCAGCGCCCGTCCCGCCCGCTGCCCCCCGCTCCCCCACCCGCTGCCGGCAGCAGGGAGGGCCCGGAGCGCAGGCCCGGTCCCAGGCTCGCCTGCCAAGCAGCAGCAGGAGCCTCTTCCCGCAGAAATGGTGCCTCCCACGCAGGAGCGAGATCCCACGGTGTTCGCCGGGTTTTCAGCTCCCGCCGGGAGCTGCGGACCGGGAGTCGCGGGGGTGCTGTGCTTGAACTCTGGACACCTCCTTGTTTTCCTCCTTGCCTCGTGACTTTTATGGCCTGTCACGGAGGGAAGGCAGAGGAACGAAAGGCGAGAGATCCTTGCCTGCTGCTCGCTTCCTGCCTCCTTCCCGCAGCCCCGGCCACCGCAGCAGCTCCGATGGCAACCCCAGCGCCCCAACCAACCTGCCAGGGGGGGATCCAGAGCTCCCACGGCTCTCACCTGACCCATCGTCCTCCCAGCACCCACGTTTGTCGTTGCTGGATGCTTCGTTTATTCCCAGATATTGGCTAAGACTGCATCAAACCTGGTAGGAATTATGGGGTCAGAGATCTGAGCTCAGCTCATCGGTGTTGACTTGTTGCAGACTTTACCAGGGTGCTGCTGGATATGGATGCCTGTGTTGGCTTCTTCTGGAGCTGGGTGCCTGTTCCTCCTGGATCAAGCCACATGTGTAATGTGCTGTTAGAAGTTTTGTGACCTGATTCCCTGGTGTTTTGGAGTTTCTCATAACCTAAATGACTTTGAGATGGCTTGGATAAGGGCAGAGTACTTTTAAAGGGTTGCACCAGAGGGAGGTGGCTTGGTTTGGAGGAATAATGTATGGGTGACCCAGATTTCAGAACTGCACCTGAATTGGGTGAGGAGGAGGCATCCATAATCAGACTTGAAGTTGTAACAAATCTGAGTTCTTCTTAGTTTTTGTTAATGTTATGAAGAGCTCAGCTGTCTTCTGTGTAGAACCTTATTTTGCCAGGTTGTGGTTGAGGGTGGCATTTATCCTGTCCTGCCTGTACAGCAGCCTCATGGTCTGGGTAAGTTTCAGTGGGGTCCAGTTGATTGTGACAGCAGGCAACTGGGCTTGAGCTTGATGCTCCTGCTCTCTGAAATAGTGGGACACAAATAGTTCCTCTGAGAACTTTGTGTGCGTCCTGGTAGATTTTGACAGTAAGTCTGTTCTGCAGGCCTTTTTTTTTTTTTTTTCATTCTGCTAATTTTAGATGGATGTTCTTGTGCTTGTTCTGTTGAATCTTATCCTTTCTTACGGTACGCTTATTCCATGTGCTTTCTAGCAGGAAAGAGCCAAATAATGCTATAGTTTTTGATTATTTTTTTATTTCCTTTTTTTTTCTTTTTTATGTAATCTACTTTCGAGTCTTGTTTAAAATGGGCTGTTTTATTTAATTAGTTTGTATTCATATTACATTCACTCTCCATAGTTGTCCCAGGCAAAACTTAAGGAACAGCCCGCAAGGGATTTCCAGTTCTTAATTGGAATCACATTTTTTTCCAAGGATGTTTGATTCTAAGTGTTTACTGTGCTTTCTGTCATCTGGTATCTTTCCAGTTGATGTTGTTTGCTTAGTTACTGTTTGGCTAAATTATCCACTGCTAGTTTATTTCAGTAGTCATGCCTCGGAAGTTTTGCAATTCCTTTCCGCTTTGCAGCTCCTCACTGAGCTCCTGTTGAATCTTTTAATGAAGTACTCAGAAGTGACTTCAGTGCAAATGCTCTATTGTTTTGACAATTGGGCTCTACATAGAGGTTATTTCCCTTTTTCCTGAGGTAATCACACAGTTCAGAGTATCAGCCAGCTGGGGACAGATACCTTGACCTGACTCCTGGCAGGTATTTACATTCCCAGCTGGTTATCTCTGCATCGAATCCAAAATTCTACTAGAAAAGTACCCAGTCTTGATTTCAAGGTATCAGGTGATAGGCTGCACTGGTTCGCTGGGTAAATTATTCCAATGGCTGATTACCCTTGCTAATTTCTTATCTCCATCTGTCCAACCTGGCTTCTAACCACAAAGTCTTGCTACAAATTTTCATGCCAGGTTGACATGAAAGCCTGTTGCTGCCAGGATGACACATTCCAGCTAAAAGATGGTCTGTTTTACTGCAAGCCCATGGCTGCTAGCTGTGCTGAGCTCTTCCTTCTGGGAAGAGGGCAGCCATGGAGCTGGAGTCTGGGTGATCAGCATGGTTTAGAGCAGTGATGGAGGGTGCTTGGCCTGGTGTCTCTGTGCAGGCAAGGCTTCCTGGGAACTGTGCTTAAGTAACTCGTGTTGCTTGGAGCTGGGCTTCACATAATGAGCAGCCCAGCACCACAACAGGCTGCTGCTGAAGGAATGATCCAGTTCTCATCCAGTCCTGACTGCAAGCTCCTGCTGCTTCCCTGGGATCACCCAGGCCACTTGGTCACCTTCTCTGGTGACCAAGTGGCCTCAGATCAGTCCAGTCACTGCTCCAACTGAATATTAACCCCCTTCCCTAAAGAAAAAAAAAGTATAGAAGTTGGATTAGCCTGCCTTGTGGCCAGAGAGATTGCTGAAGTGTAGCATGACACTGGGCATGAGAAATGTGGTGAGGGACCACCTTTTCCAACAGCAGGATTAGATGCCAGAGGGAATCACACATTTAGTTCCTACATTTCTGTGCTTGGGTAAACAGGCTGTGGTTGCACAAATCCTCTCAGCTGGCACTGCTGTTGAAAGAAGCCGTCGTGCCTGCCTGTTGTCATCTCTGCTGGTTCTCTGCTGTGGTTTGTTGTGAGACCACACATGCACCTCTACCACCAGGAGAGAAAGGGCAGAGGATGGAACTCCTTTTGGCAAGGTGAAGAGTTGGTGAAACTAGGAGTTGTCACAAGCATGCCTTACCTTTAAATCTTCATAGAAGGCAGTGTATCATTTTGCCTTCCCTCTGCAGCTGACATGTGAGAGCAGCTGCCCTGATTTACTCAGTAATGCAGATTAACTCTGTTGCGTGGCTTGGGAGAACTGGGTTTAGCCAGGACTGGGTTTAGGTCAGATGCTTTTATGTCTTTGGTCAAGAAGCGCATGTTGAAATTTGTTGTGTGGGAGAGAGCATGTAGTGTAAGAAGAAGGTCTGAGCCTTGGCTGTGACACACTGCTACCTATGAAGGGTTCAGTGGTGCAGAAAAGTTCTAAGTTAATGCATTCCTGTGCTCTAGATGTGAGTTCTCAGTGCTGAGCAAGGTGGGGTGCCCTTTTGGGAAAGCTTCATTAATCTTGTGTTTTCCATTAAGTGACTCCGGCTTTCTTGCCCTTAGAGTAGAATTGGTTTGCCGAGACAAAATCCATTCCCCATCTATTCTTAGACGCCCTTCCTTCAAGTCCCATGCAGAACACTGCAGGATGAGGAACAGAGCCTATGGTGGGGACTTGTTTTGACCTGATGTTTGGGGGGTTGGGTTAAAAGCGAGATGAAGTCAAAGAAGAAATTCCCATGACTTTAGTACAAGTTCAATGTAAGGTCAGGGGGAGGGCTATTGGTTTTGATAGTGGGAAAAATTTAGAAGAGGAAAGGTGATTACCATGACATGTGTACAAATGTATATATATAGACACACATATGTAAAGGTATACAAAATAGAGGGTGTTCTGATGCTAGGAGAGGTTGAGGAGGAGTGGCTGAAGAAACTGTAATTGGATAGTAGACAAGGAGGGAACTGAGGTGGGAGGAAGCACAGGAACCTCCTGCTGGGAGAATACTGCGTTAAAGCAGAGATGGTCATAAAGTCGCTTCCTAAAAACATATCCTTTTTGCAGTGTCACAGAGAAGTGTGTGACATTTGGACACCAAACCACCTTTTTGTGATCTCAGATTGAGCACCCAGCTGCATGCAGGGGCTCAGTGTGTGAGAGTGACTGCCCACAGCCTTGCTGGTGCTCAGAGTCATTAAGCACTGGGGTTCCTAACACTGATCATACACAGAAATTCCCAAATCTCCACCAGGGGTGGTGCCCAGTGGGATCCAAGAGCTGGGTGGTCACCTCCATGGGCAGAGCAGAGCTGTGCACTGGTG